CATTACCAAGGGATCAAGCTTTCTGCCCATTCTGCAGGCCCAGGGATGGAAGGATCCATGAAGACTGCTAGTGTTTCCATTTCCTACCTCTTTTTCAGAGGAGGAGACAGAGGGCCCAAGAAGTCCAGTGCCTTGCCTAAAGTTTCAGAGGAGGAATAGAACCAGGCTTCTGGCCCACATTCAGCTACACTGAAAGGAGTCCCTTGTCTTCTGGTTTTGTTAGAACGATCTGGCTTTTCAGTTCTGTGTTATCATTATTGATTTCTTTCTTATGTTATTCATTCAACAAATTTTTAGTAAGAATCTACTATGTGCACTATGCAAGGTACTAAAAATATAATGAAGAGTTTAATAAACATATTGCCTCACCTCGAGATATTTGACATTTGCATTCAGCTTTATAAATATGTTTTTTTTTTAATTTCCGAATATTATGGGGGTACAAACCCTTTGGTTACATATATTGCCTTTGCACTGCTTGAGTCAGAGCTACAAGCGTGCCCATCCCCCAGACAGTGTGCACCGCACCCATTAGATGTGAATTTACCCATCTCTCCCTCCCCCCCCGCCCCTGCCCGACACTAATGAGTGTTATTTCCATATGTGCACATAAGTGTTGATCAATTAGTGCCAATTTAATGATAAGTACATGTGGTGCTTGAGTTTCCATTCTTGTGATACTTCACTTCGAAGGATGGGCTCCGGCTCCATCCAGGATAATATAAATATGTTGATTATAACTAGACAATGACTATAATTTCTGGTGTTTTCTTTGTTCATGACCATTACTGATACCATATCCTCTTTTTACTCGCTCTCTTTAATTTGATAAATTTTTTGTTAGATAGAGTACTTCTTGGAGTAATTTTTTTTTTTCCCAGGAAGGGTTCATGGTATGTTCCTTGAGTCCTTGTGTATCTGGTGGGATGGCAGGTGCAGATGCTAGGCAGGCCTGTCCCAGGATCCAGACTCAAGTTGGGTCTGTGCTGTGAGTGGACAGCACCTGCCTGAAATGTCCTACTCCCTATCCACCTGTTCCCACACACTCAGTGTGGACTTTTCTCCCCACCCGGCCCAGATGTCTGGACACAGACTCCCAGATGATCCACTGACACTCTGCCCGTCCTCCTCCCCGCCTGGGCCTTTCATCCTAACATCTGTGCTCCAGCTCCCTTCTCTGCAGTCACATTCTCCTGTGGTTTATTCCTTGAACTCTTGAGTTACCTGAACCCCGTCATGAATCAGGCAAACCAGCCCCAGCCTCCTGCATCTTCTGATCTGTCCTGTTCTCCTGCCTCCCACCACCCACCTCTGTTGGCAGGGCCCTAAGGGAGTGGACACACGGCTCTCAGTTCTAATTGAGGGAAAAGACCAGAGAGCTTTGGGCTTTGGTGGGGGAGAAGGACAGGCGTGTGCATGTCTGTGTAGGGGGTGAGGTGGGAGTCTACATATGTTGGGGGGCACGAATGTGCATGCATATGTGGGCGGGGAGAGAGGAGGTGCACACATATCTATGTGTCCTCCTAGAGGGGCTAGAAATGGAAAAAAATCTGAAAAATATATTTTTTTTAAATGGCAGAGGAGGTTTTTGGTCCCTACTCCTCCTCAAAGAAAAACAGAAAAAGCAACCTTTCCCAGACTGTCACATCTCTAAATACAGCAAATGCTAATTTAATAAGCAAACCAAATTACACATGATGCATGTTTATTTCTCAAGCTAAAAAAAAGAAGAATTTGCTTCTCTAAAGGGCATTATAAAAATTACATTTTATATAATTCCCCCAAATTTCTATGCACCTCCAAAAGTCTCATTTCTCCCCATTCATGACTTCAAAACCTCTGGGAATTCTGAGTCTTCAAATAAGAATCTCCAGGTAAGTAGGAAATAATATAAAGATGTCAAAGGGCACTCAGGAGAGGATCTCAGGGTCTCTAGAAAAATTCAGTCTTTCTTTGGCTATGATCTTGATAATTAAATATCCTATTATTTAAAATCAAGAACACGAAAGATCTGATTTTTTTCCCATTCCTTCTATATGGTTGGTTTAATATAGACATTACCTCCATGTTTTTTTTTATCTTTCCCTTACCTTCCTTTTTTTCATTTTTATTTTTATTTTTATCTTTATTGTTTTGCCCCATACTCCTCTTTTCTGTTCAACTACCTTATTCTCTGGACCTCAGTTAGTCAATTTTTGTTGCTCCATTCTAAATGCTATCAATCAGCCCACCTCCTTCCCAGAGGGCCAGTGTGGTTAAAACGGGTAGTCAAAGGAGAGAAGGCGGCCAGCCTCACTTGGCCCTTGGATTTCGTTCACTGAGCCAAAGTGAAACCTACATACTGAGCATCCACCCAGGCAAAAATGCAAGACACGCCTACCACCCCTTCGCTACTGCTCAACAATCTGCTGGTCTCCAACAATATTAGACCCGACTTCTCTATCTTTGATGGATCCTTTAGAACAAAGTATCCCCCCAGAGAAACATAGTTTCCCATTTAAAACAACACTTGGATTTAATTGTAACGTTTAGGCACTTATACCTGGTAACAGAGACACAAGGTCTAAGACATGGATTAAATTTAAGGACATTATGCTAAGTGAAATAAGCCAGTCAGGAAAGGACAAATACTACATGATTCCACTTACTTAAGGTATCCAAAGGAGTCAGATTCATAGAGACAGAAAGTAGAATGGGGGTTGCCAGGGGCAGGGTAAGGGAGGATGGGGAGTTAGTGTTTAATATAATAGATATGGAGTTTCAGTTTTGCAAGATGAAAAGATTTCTGAAGATTGGATGCACAACAATGTGCATCTATCTTAATACTGCTGAAGTGTACACTTAAAAATAGGACGGCAAATTTTAAAACTTTAAATTAAAAAAAAAGGTTTATAGTCTAGTGGGAGTTTTCCATAAACTTGTAGTCTTAGGGTTAGAAGAGGTAATCAGAGGTGATTTAGCCCTGTGGTCCCCAACCCCAAGGCCACAACCCAGTACTGGTTCATGGCCTGTTAGGAAATGGGCCACGTATCACCACCTGAGCTCCGCACCACCCTCCCCCACCCACGACACCCCACCCCCCACCCTCGCTCCGTGGAAAAATCGTCTTCCATGAAACCGGTCCCTGCCAAAAAGGTTGGAGACCGCTGATTTAGCCCCATGTTTCTCAAATGTTTTTGACTGGGACCCACGACATTTTATATCATGTATATAAAAAAACTACATTTTATATCATGATCCAGTATGTATATGTCATGATACAGATACATACATACATGTATGATTACTGATACATACTGATACATGTGAACACACACATGTATATCTGAAATGAAGATGTATAACTAAAAAACATACAGGAAATATTATTTACCTCATTATAGGGTATATGTTCTGATTGTTTTCTACTCTATCTTATTTTATTAAGACAAATATCATTTACAATCTACAAATTGATTTCATAATCTACGAAAAGGTCTCAGTCTGCAGTTTAAAAAACACTAACCTAAACCAATCTCTCGCATAATGCCAAAATCTCCTCCAAAGCCTCCCTGCTGGGTGGTCATCCAACTTCTGCTTGAATGCCCTTGTTGACAGGGAGCTCACTCCCTTCAAGGCAGCATGCTTTATGGTGGACCCATCTAGCAGGTCCTTGCTCACCACAAAGCTGCTCCAGGAGTGGCCTGGGTGGCGCTGGGGATCCCAAGAGGGCTGGGACCAGCTGACAGGTGCTCACTGGCTTCCAAGAAGGGTGAAAGCACAGCTCCCAGCAGCAAGGCGGGGGTTGGGTGAGCCAGAAGAGAGGGCAGGGTTGCTGGGAGACTCTGGCTCCTTTCTGTGGAGCTGCTGATCAGACCTTTCCCCCTCTGCCTTCTCACCGCTTCAGCACTGTGATTATCTCCTCATCTGGCGGATGATCTCATCCCCCCCAGCACCCGCCTGTGGGAGAGGTTTCCTCCCCCTGGAGGGGGCCTCAGCCTCCAGTTGAGACAGATTCCCCCACGCTCCCTCCCACCCCTCAGGACTCCAGCAGGACACCTCTGGCCATCCCCACCTTGTACTCTCTTGGTCTTGACACGTGGGGGTATCCGAGCCCAGGGTGTTGAGACAAGGGCCGCCTGAATCTTTCTGACCTCCCCCCGCCACACACACACACACATTCTGGAGACCTGCCCGGGTTCAGGACAATGAGATTCTGCCACACCTGACTGTGTCTTCCTGGAGGAAACAAAACAAAGACAGCACCACCACGTGGGTTCAGAGCTGGCCACTGGACATCCAAACCCTGGTCCCGGGATGAGAAAAGGACAATGTCCAAACTCCTGGTGAGGGCGGCGGGCTGAGCGAGGAGGGGGCCTGGCCCGGCCACAAGCTAGCGCCAGGGCGTGGCAGTGCTGTGTTTGTGCAGTTCTCAGCTTGCCAGCCAGCCCGCCCAGGCCAGGTAGCATCAGGCTGACCTCAGGGTGGGGCGGGGCGAGGAAGAGGTGATGATCTCATTGCCTCCTTAGAAGCAAGAGAAAGAAGTAACCCGCGCAGAGATAAAGGAGAAAGAAAAGACAGATGCTAAAAAATGGGAACAGAGTCAAGAAAAGCTATGTCTGAGGAAGAAAAGGTAAAACACCCACTTGAAAGGGGTCTCCAGGTCAGAGACAGCTCCAGGGGAAGCCGGTCCCTGCACAAAACCTTTCTCCCTTGGCAACAAAATATTTTTATGCAGAAATAACTCACCATGGACATCTGGCAATTCCCACCCATCCTGGCCCTCCTGAGGTCTGGAATAAAAGTAACACCCGGAGCCCACCCTCGCCCCTCTGCCAAGCGCCATTCTTTTTGCTTCATGCTATTTTCCCCAGGGTTCGACAAAGTTTAATTGATGGAGTGAAACCAAAGGCAACATAATCGGTGCCAGGCCCCCAAACTTCTCCCCTGCCGCGGTTGCTGTCTTATCTTTTCCTTTTGTCTGGGAAGGCTGGAATCATTTGCATTTCATTTCGACTCACCTGCAGTCCGGTTAGAAGCGAGCCCCGCTCTCTTCCTCACTCCCTCAATTAGTGGTACCCTGGGCTTCTCTCAACATCAGCACCACCGCTCGCTCTCGCCATGACATCACCTCCGAGCTCCGTGATTGGCCAGCAGCGGGTTGCTTGGCAATTGGACAGTCTCCTCTGGTGGGGCAGGGATTGCCTGAGTGAGTAACTCCTAGCAGGCCGGGGAGTGGAGGATGATGTCAGACAAAGAGCCTGCTTTCCTGGCTGCCCAGGGAGCAGGAGGACCAGCGGGAGAGGGTGGCAAGGGAGAAAAGGGGAGTGGTGCAGGGAAAGTGGGGGTGAAGGCACAGTTTTGTGAGCTGGGGCAATGATGAATGATTTTGAAAATCTTTAGGTCTTTCAAATCTGGGGGTGGGAGAAGATGGAATCTAAAGGAGAAATAAAAGAGAACAGATGAACCCTAAAAATAACTTCCCGGAGGGCTTGGTGCCTGTTAGAAGGGCTGGTGGGTTTGAATGCTGGACTCAGGAGGCAGGATGGGCTGCAGAAATCCTGGGCCCTGGAGCTGGGGAGGGCCCCACACAGGGGTCTCAGGAGAGCAGGGATTCCCTCCGGCCACCCTCGCAAAGGTGTCGGCCACATCTCTGCTGTGGCATCGGACCAGCCCTGGTGGGTCCTCACACTCCTTACAGCCCACCTGGGCCTTGCAAAGGGAGCTGCCGCAGGGAGGAGGACTGGCTGGCCACCACGCTGGCGACTCCTGGATGTGGTGGGATCCTGAGGGCAGGTGATGGGTCATCGACTGTGGCTTCTTCGGTTGCCCCAGGGAATGGGGGTGCCCCTGACGCGAGCTTTGCAGGCTACTCACCCTCAGCCGGTCATCAGGGTGGGGCATGTGAGGGGTGGGCTCCCTCTCCAGGACACCCCTCCTGACGGAAGCCCCTGTCTCCACACTCCACCGCCCAGCCTGGCCTCGCTCAATTTTCTTGGGGAGGGACGTAATCGTTCTACTGTAGTAAAACACGCATCACATAAAATTCACCATTTTAACCGTGTGTAAGTGTGTAGCTCAGTGGTGTTAAACACCTTCACATTGTTGTGCAACCATAGCCACCTTCCCTCTCCAGAACGTTTGCATCTCTGAGGATTTCCATCCGTAACCATTAAACAATAACTCCCCTTCCCCCTAAGCTCTGATCCACTTTCTGTCTATGAGTTTGCCTACTCTGGGAGCCTCATATCAGTGGAATCAACCTGTATTTGTCCTTTCGTGTCTGGCTTCTTCCACTCTGCATGTGGCCTTCGAGGTTCATCCACACTACAGCATGTGTCAGAATTCCATCGCCTCCCCCTTTCCAAGGGGGGTTTGTTCCACCCTCCACCACCACGCCCCTGTTGAGTGAGAGCACACATAATGACAAAAAGTTACCTTGATTTCAGCCCATGCTTTGAAATTATTTTTTCACTGTAATAGCGTGAACGAGCATCTGACAATCATGGTTGGTGCATAGATATGATGTACGGTGTGTTCTCTCTGCAAACTGTGCTGAGGTGAGTAGATTCTCAGGCCCTGGCTTGAGCCCCTGGCTGTGCCTCACTGCCCAGTGCCCTGTGTGGTTCTCCAGGGGGTCCCATACCGACATAGAGCTCCAGCCCCCACCTCACATCAGGAGGGAGGGGACGGTGAGGCTGCCCGCCTCTGGCCAGCCATGCCTAGGGGCGGCCAGAATGACGAATGACCCCTGACAGCCTTTGGGCTCTTCAAAGCACATTGGCACCGGGTCTATGGTGTGAGCCCCTCAGTAGTGCTGCGAGGGCGGCAGGATGAACACCGTCCTGCTTGGCATTCGGCGAGTGTCTCTGAGCCACATGCTTATCATGCACACCACACGCCACTAGCCCAGGCCCCATGGCCCCCACACCGGCCCCTGCAGAGGGAATCAGGATACTAAGGATGTCAGAAGTGGTTCCCTGAATGTGTGGAGACAACAGAGGGCACACTGCACACCGGGCTGGGATTCAGAGTCCACAAAAACCCAAAACATGTGGCCATCCTGGCTGCCAAGGGGGCCTTTTCTCCCTGCCCCCGGAGGCCCGAGAAGTCTGGAACTCCACAGATCTGCTGGCTCCGAAAAGTGAGGGATGGGGAGAGGAGACAGTGGGTTGCCATGGTGACGGCAGCCAATCAGAGAGCCTCTGCTGCCAGGGGAGGAGCGAGTGCGGCCTGAGTCCGCCCAGCTGACCGTGAAGGGTCAGGGAGAACGGGACAGGACGTCAGAGCCTGAGAGCAGAGGCCAAGGTGGGGGAGAAGGGTGGTGGAGAGGGCTGCTCCATTTCTAGAATTATCTACTACCATTTGAGTACTGAGCTGTGATGGGCTACACACACACACACACACACACACACACACACACACACACACACTCAGCAAGTCTCACAACTGCCCTGTGGGGAAAGGATTACCCACCCCATTTATAAAGGAAGCAGACTCAGGTGGGAAAGGTAACCTGCAAACAGCCTCGCTGTCAAGTGGTGAGGCCTAGATTTGAACGCGAGTGGGAAGAGAAAATAATATTGGCAAGAGAAAGAGCAAGGCAAGCCGGGTAGAGCCTCCACCCCGAAGACTTACTGGGTGGGAGAGTCCCAGGGGTTTCCCTGAGGTGGCACAGGGCAACACGGTGATGAAATGAGGAAAGAAGCACAGTTTTTGTAGGAAAATGTGCCAAGCATCAAGTCCGAAGGACAAAGGGTGAGGAGAGACGAAAGGCAGAAAAGAAAACAGCAAGGTGGGAACTAGGAGGTTCAGAGGGGTGCGAGAAGGCTGGATGGGCGTTATGGTCCCACACCTCAATACTCAAGGCTCAACGCCTGTGGGCCTTGCTGAGAAAGGTGGGTGACCAGAGGCTGTTCCTGGGTAGCTTTGGGTTGGGCCGGCTACTTGTGCCCAGTCCAGCTAAATGCAGCAGCCGGATCTCAGTCAAAGGGAGTGTGGGGCCCACCTCTGCAGACGTCAGCTCTCACAGCTCAGGTGGCACTATGGCAGTGACTCTGGGACCAGGCATGTGTGGCCATTCCCTGAGTTCCCATTCTCTGCCTGGCTGCACTGTGGGCACCGATTTATTCATCTCTGCCCAGGGATCGAAGAACAGTCACTGCCCAATGACTCGACTCAACGTCCAAGCCCCTTGGGCACAAAGGAGCATGCCCTGTGCCCAGAGGGGTCCTGGCCCTTGGCAGACGTGGTCCTACTGTAGGAGCAGCTGGGCAGGCTCTCTAGGGACCCTCATGGAACCTCCGCTCTCTTTCCAGCCCTCAGGAAGCATGATCCTAGCCTCACACGGGAATTCAGAATGTCTGATCAACATTTGTGTGTCTGTTTCACTCACACCAATGCAGTTTGTAAAGATGATGTAATATAAGTGGGCATTTATTTTCTGCCTTTATTTTAGGAAACTAAAATTTGGGGGATTTTCTTCCGTAGAATTTGCTGAACTCAACATTGTCATATATTTGCTTAAAACATGTATGCACTATGTCTTTTTTTTTTTTAATGTGAACACTCTTATTTCACCTGAAGAGTGGTTGTCCTGACTCACAAGCTCTTGTGACACCAGTGACTTAGAATTTCTTTCAACCAATTAAAACCCAAATCAACTCAGCCAATTCGAATTCAAGCAAAGCCAATTGCTGAAGCTGTTTGTTTATGCTGATGATTAGGTTTGTAAACTAAATAGTAATGGCGGTTAATATTTATAACAGCAACATATGATGTTTATAAAAGCAACATTTATCAAGTGAGCTAAAACCTGTAAATCACCAAGAACATTGCCTGGCACAAGGTACGAGCTCAACAAACGTGAGCTATTATTATGACATCCTTAAACACAAGAGCAGAATACCCAGGAGTCTTAGCTTTGCAAGTAACAGAAGACCATTTCAAGCTTGTTAAAAGAGAGAGAGAGAGAGAGAGAGAGAAAGAGAGAGAGAGAGAGAGAGAGAGAGAGAGAACATATATTAAAATTTTAAAACACTCAATCCAATTAGAAAATGGGCAAAATACATAAAGAGACATTTCACCAGTGATGTTATGCAGACAGCAAAAACACACATGACAAAATATTCAACACTACTACCATGAGGGAAATGTCATCTAAGACCATGATGAGGTATCACTCTACACCTATGAAAATAGCTAAGATAAAAAACAGTGACAATACCAAATGCTAGTGACTATGCAGAGAAATTAGATCTCTTATGCATTGTTGGTGGGAATATAAAAAGGTACAACCAGTCTGGAAAGTAGTTTGGCAGTGTCTTTAAAATAATAAACATACATTTCCCAGATCACCAAGCAATTGCACTCCTGGGTATTATTACCGGAGAAATGAAAACAAATTCACACAAGAGTCTGAATACAAATGTTCATAGCAGTTCCATTCGTAATAACCCCAAACTGGAAACAACCCAAATGTCTCCCATAAGTGAATGGATAAGCAAACTGGCACTTCCATATCATGGAATGCTATTCAGCAACGAAAAGGCATGAACTATTGATACATGCAACAACTGGAAAGGATCTCAAGGAAATTATGCTGAGTTTAAAAAAAAAAAAGCCAAGAGGCCACACTGTATGATTTCATTTATAGAATATTCACAAAATGATGAGATGATAGTGGTGGGAAACAGATTGGTAATTATCGGGGCTTAGGAATGACGGGGAAGGAAGGGGGTGCCTAGAAAGGGGTAGCGGAGGGAGTATCTTTGTGGAACGGAGCTGTTCTGTATCTTGATTGGGTGGTGGTTACACAGATCGACACCTGTGACAAAGCGACACAGAGCTATACACATACACACTGTACCGACTTCCTGGTTTGATGGTGTACTATTGTGTCTATTGTAACCATGGGGGAAACCGAGTGAGGGATTCAAGGGACCTCTCCGTACTGTCTTTGCAAGTTCTTCTAAATCTGTAATTATTTCAAAATAAAAAGTTACCAGGAAAGAAAAGAAAAAAGGGAGTCAGGAATATTTGCTGGAACCCAAAGCGGAGGGTTCCTCCCAAGAAACAATAGCCAGGAAAGCAATTGTGGATCACTTGCACGCTCGTGCTCTCTCTCTCTCTCTCTCTCTCTCTCTCTCTCTCTCTCTCTCTCCTCCCCAACCCCTGCAAGGCTGCTTCCTCCTCCTCTCTCTGCAGACCTTCTCTGCTGCTCCTTGCATGTCGCTGCCTCACAGCCATGAAGGATGTCACTGCTTTCTGGTGGTGCTGGTATCCTTTGCAGCTGGGCCACACAGAGAAATCCATTAGTTTTCTCTTAGATTCAATACAAAATTCTCAGGAAAACAAAATCAACCAGCGCTCTCTGTGCCTGGAGTCCACGCCTGCCATAGCAGTGGGGGAGCACAGGGCCATGGTACCCGCTGCCGGGAGCACCTGCACCTCCTCTCATCCTGCACGGAGGGGAGGCCCTGATCCCAGGCAATGCCCCTTTATCCTCCAGCTCAGTCTCAAA